TCGGACAAGTTACCATTACTGAGATATTCACAAAAACAGCATCCTCTATAGTGTAAAATAGTGAATATCTCAGTAATGGTAACTTGTCCGAAAAAGCTGGAAACAAGAAATGAAATCTCGTTTTATTTTGGTTCAAACTAAAAACTTTCATCCAACGAATTTGAGCTGCTCAAAAACGAAAAAGTGCACAAAATAAGTACAAAAGATTTTCATCTCAGTCCACGTATAGCACCAGAGGTGTAAGCCGATTACTTGAGAGGAGAATGAAGCTACATTAATATAGAACTTTCCAATACTAATCTTCTTCTGAAATTTCCCAAATTATGTACAAATGAACTGCTAAAAGATCTAGCTGTGCGTAACTGAGACTTAAATGGGCATTGAAGAGGAAGATAACTCTATACTGAGCTGAGACTGAACTTTTTTTTCTTTTCAGCTATTTTTGTCGCAATTCTTTCAGGAACTACGCTTTTTTCATCGCTCACACTAGAGTCCCGATAATGGTGACAAAATTCGCTGATTGTCCGAAGAATTGGTATAATATAAACGAAGCTGATTTTGTTCATAGTTTTCGAAAAAAATATCCGCCTATCTGAAACTGAAAGACATGTTTGTTGATAAGTTGTTTTTTCTGTTAATATTCAGATTATCCAACAAGGAAAATTCTCACCAACTAAGAAGAAATGGATCCGGTTGACCGTGGCTCAGTTAAAGATGTTGATCAACAACAATTTACCGTTGCATTTGCTGAGTTTTTGAAAAAAACTGGTAAACTAGACTTACCAAGTGGAAACTGGGTGGATATCGTTAAATTGGGTATACATAAAGAAATGGCACCAATGGATCCGGATTGGTTTTACACAAGATGTGCATCCATTGCTCGACATTTATATTTGAGACGTGCTGGTGTTGGTGGATTAACACGAGTATATGGTGGTTTGAAACGAAATGGATGTCGTCCATCACATTTTCAAAAAGGATCAAGATCTATTGCACGAAAATGTTTACAATCATTAGAAAAAGCAAAAATTGTTGAAAAACATGCAACAAGTGGACGGGCCTTATCACAATTGGGCCGAAGAAATATGGATACAATTGCAAAACAAGTAGCAGAAAAATTAGCAAGATATGAGCGTAGTTAAATATAGAAGATGAAGGATAAAAATTTGTGATTTTTGCTTTTTTTGTTAAAAATGAACGTAGTTCATGTCTTGAACAAAAGAATATCGGCAACATTATCCATGTAATTTACCTAAAATATCGTTACAATAAAAAAAGAAACATGTAATTTAGTCAAGTATAGTCACGATAACATCATTTTTTTGAAATATATCTGTTCGAATGCAAAAGAGATATTTTTAAAATGGAAGAACTTCAGGGTACAGTTCAGATGCAAGAGCCTATTATGGTACTATTCAGTTTTTTATTCTAGATTAGAGCCTTTGTCTTGTTTAGCAATGAATTGAGTCCATTTGTATCGTTCATTATACAATCTTAATTGAAGGATTAAATTCACTTATTGATGGTATATTACGAATAGATGATGATATGAAAAATATGTACACAACTGATTTCGATTACAATTGTTCAGAGATTTTACATAAAGTGGTTACATTAAAATTATAAAACAATCATACAAGTGATCAAATCTCATTATTTTTAAGCATGTATGATACTAGTCAGTTGTCAAGTTTAAGAACATTGTGATTAAAACAAGAAAAGAAATTCGAAATTGAAAAAAGCTGACCGTTAAAGATTTATTATTAATCGATTTAATAATAACAACGGACAATATTGAAGATAATGAGAATCTTTGTATTGACTACAACATATTCTTAGACTCACTGAGTAGGATAACTATAAAAACAAATAGGCAAATTTTTATTAAAAGGTATGTAAAAAAGCATCCTAATTGGTATGCTACCGTGCATTTTTATTCTTTTGGAATACAAACGAAGAAAGTCTACAATATTCTAAACTGAAACGATTAAAAAAATATAAAATTAAGTTTTCACGAATTGGGACTTGATCATATAAGTTTAATTTGATAGTAAACGTAGAAAATGTTTAAGCCACTTGAGAAAGGCTAGAAACAATCAAATTTTGATTTAAACTATTTAGAAATGATTGAATCTTCTTGTCATAACAATCAACATTTTACTCTTTTAGAAAACTTATGCTTTGAATACCGAAAGTCCAGTGTAAAATCCTAAATCGAAAAAAAAATAAAAATCGAAATCGGACCCAAACTTTTTATAAACTAGAAACGATAAACTCTCAAACTTTCTGGTTCAAGGCGTCACTAATCGTAACGAAACCGTTCATAGTCGGATCTTTACACGAGCATTGTACTTTCTAGGTCTTGGAAAAACATATAATATTGAATATTTAATATTTACTCCTGTAGTAAAATCGATAAGCAATTTAATCGCATTATCTAAATATTTAGCACATAAGCTGAATTTCGGATGATAATGTGCAAAACAACAATGATCATCCAACAAAAAATAATGATGATGAAAATTAGATTCCATTACTCTCATATTTAAATCTTGATGTCAACTGTATCCTTTATGAACGAATCAGAACGAAATTCAGTTTAAAATTGAATTATATAACAGATATATGTTTAATGAATAGTGAAAACTAAAAATTTCTTGATAAAATATTTATCATCCATAGAAAAATTTTAATTTTATATTGAAATACAAGGCGTTTTTTCGATTGATGCTAATGCATTTGAATCAGTATTCAAAAATCTGAAGAGCTCACTAGATGATTAGCTTATTAATATCCCTGTGGAAAAGCTGAATGGTAATACGTTTTATATCTCAAATTGAAGATTCACAAATTGACTGGGATTATAGTTCAGAATTATTGACATTTTATCTTTTAATATACATTTTTATCGGATTGCACAATATATCAAGTATGTCAAATAATAATAATTATGGCAAAGTCGAATATTTATTTCTAACAGCACCTTCTCTGTTTCTCAACAACAGTTTCCAAATGTTTATTCATCAAAATTTTTATTAGATACAATGACACTATTGTTTATCAAGAATTTGTATAAAATGATTGTATTATCAAATTTAGAACATTTTTAATATAACAACTAGTGCATGTAAGTTGTATTGTTTTAAACCGACTATTCAAGATAATCGACTGATATCTAGGATAGATATTTTTTTATGCAAAATAAATTAGTGAAGAAATAAACGATAATTGTAAACTTCAATTCAAACTCCTATTTAATCATAGCTTGAGGATCAGTTACTTCTTTTTCTCTCCCGATATTTTTGAAAGATCATGATTCGCATGCTAAATCATATAATTTTGACTGAGTCATTTGACAACTCTTACTATTGCACACTCATACAAGATATTTATTTCTTTACTTTTAGTGGGACAATTATCAGAATTATTAACAGAAACACCAAATATTTCATCGTTAACAGTTCAATCTTCAAATTGTTTTATATCGGGTGTCCCAGGTAAAATGGCCCTTTTTTGTTTTTGCGATAACTCCATCATTTTTTGTGCAATCTGATCAAACTTCTTTTTAAACGATACGCCATTTAATTTAACAGTGCCAACTTTCTATGCCAAAGTTGCCGTACTTTCTTTGGCATTTTCGGCAAGCAACCACACTGACTGCTTTAATTTATGTTTGTTTCTAGTACTTTAAAGTATGCTCTTTCTAATGGCCTACAAGTAACGTTTGTTGTCCACTTAGCTGGCTCAAAAAGTCAAGATTTTTTGCAAGTACCAAAAAGTTCGACTGTTTTTACAACCTGTGTCAAATAGAGTAGACATGCGGTGTGCCAAATTATCAAAAGCGATTTCATCGAGCAAGTGCGACTACAGGCTACAAAATGAAAAAGAATTATCGAAAAAAGATAATTTTTGGCTGAGTTATGAGGATTTTCATGGAAGAGATAAAAAGATGATTGCAAAATGATGTCTTTCTGAGGAAACAGAAAATCTCTTCTCGCCGATGCGAGCTTTGGAAAATTTTTGGAAGTGACTATCTGATAGAACTTTTTGCGGTCTTTCGAATGGCCGTCTCGAATTTTAGAATCTGAGGAAGATTTTTGAGAAAAATCATTTTTTGCCTTAGAAAGTTGGAACTTTTATACATCCTCGCCTTTTCTTTTATAACTCTAAGAATTTCTACTCCGAGAAAACTGGTGACACATGTTTTTGTAGAGAATTAAATGGCGCATCGTTTAAAAAAAAGTTTGAGCAGATTGCACAAAAAATGATGGAGTTATCGCAAAACAAAAAAGGACCATTTTACCTGAGACACTCGATACAAATGATAATGCTTTAAAATTCCATGGTTTTGGTGTTCGATTCTAACAACTTTAATATTCATTCAAATCTTATTTATTTCACTTGCTTTATTTCATTTTGGTTTTTTTATCGTGAGATTTTGTGAATTCTGCTGTTGTATTTTAAATTTTTTTTTTCAAATTATTCTCAAAGAATCATTATTCTATTCCCTTTTGTAAATTTCATATGTTATAACAACTTCAAACAACTTTCTTTACATTTTTTGACATGTAAATGTACAACATGATTTTATATGTTAACTGTTTTTTTATTTGTGCCATCGAAGTAGAAAGTTAGACATTTCGCAACTGATGTTGTTAATCTTAGTCTTGTTATATTTCATCAGTTTTTCTTATTTTCTCTAGTTCTATTCTAGTACAGAATGGAAGACTCAAAAATTCATAAATTTAGTTTGTCTCTTCAAATGTTTGAACTACTTTAAACTTAACGTTATTCTCACATAGCCATTTTTTGTGTGCATGACAAAATTCATCACTTCAAATTGAGAGATATATCACTGGACAAAAAAAAATAAAGTTCGTTTTGAGTTGCTGAAAAGCACTTTTTCGGATTCACCACGCTCGATAACCCTGCAGTTTTTCGATTTTTGGCGAGGGGTACTTCCGAAAGTTTAGGAAAAGTTTTCGAACAAAATGGAACAAAAAGATTTCCATGGGAAAATAATATTGGTTTCAAAAATTTTTCTAAACTTTCGGAAATACCCCTTGTCAAAAATAAAAGATCTCCTGGGTTATCGAGTGTGTTGAATCCGAAAAAACACATTTCAGCAACTCACAACGAACTTTATTTTTTTTTCTTATGATATGGAGAAAAGAGTTACAAACGAAAGAAACAGTACGCTTTTGTTTTGTTTGCCGATAAGTTCGTTTTTATAACATCTTTCTCAATATTTTGTATGTTTTAGATATTTTTATCCCCACCTTTATCTCCCTCTTCTTGCCAGTATTTCCCTTCAACGTCAAATCAAATGCATTCATTGACACCATATAGATAGTAAAACGAACAACCTAAGTAAGTTTAACATATTACAGTAATAATTCGTTTGTGTAATTAAACAGTCTGACATTACATTTTGTTCAGACGTCAATGGTCTCGTAACTGTAAGTAGAATTTTGTGTCCATTGAATTTGGACATAAATGTGTTCACATTTCATTTCAATAAACACTGAAAAAATTTATAAATTCAGCTATTTATAAGTTAACTTGTGCTAGAAAGTAAAGTTTTGTTTATAAACAAAGAAATGATAAATATTTTACTTCGTCTTATTTAAATCAGTATCTTCAAAAGATTCTAATATACTGTCAAAAATAGGACCATAGCCGATTGTGATATTATGTACAGATACAACATTTTATCCATATGTTGAAAATTATGAATAAATCAATCAATCATCGACTGTAATTTTCATGTACATATAATATCTCTGATTTATAATACTTTTCAGCATCATCATATGTACTATACAATAATTTTATTAGATAAGAAATATATCATCATTAGACTAAGCTATATTTTATTCATAAGAATTTTTATTTATGATAAAAGATATTTCAGATAAGATAAAGAAAATGATTGAACATTCTACAGCTATTTTTGAGTATCAGTAAAAATATTTTCTATTATGAATAATTTCTAGTAATAAAAAGATCATAATAAATGAATCATATAATAAGTACTGTTATATATTCTTGTACGAAAAAAATATTTGAAATTAATTATTTTGTTACTCATATTTGAAGAATCAAATGGTAACTAAAAAAATTGTTTTAATGTTCTCTATGAGAATATATGAATAGTACAATTTGCGTGGTTAGTTTCTTTTTTTTGTTTTTTTTATCTTGACCATATCAACTGCTGAAAATACTGTTTAACAGAAGGAGAAAAAAAATTATTTTCTGGTGGATAATAAAAATGCATTAATATAACAGAAATATTATCATTAGCAATATACGAAAAAAAAAAAAAAAAAAAATTGATAAAAATTCCTTGTAAATAGAGAACGAACGAACGAACGAATGAAACATAACAAAAATGTATCTAAACAGTATATAAACCTTTTGTAAATAGAATAGTGTATGTTCTCTCTCTCTCTCTCTCTCTCTCTCTCTCTCTCTCTGTTACACACAATTGTATTTTCTTCCGCGTTTTATCTCTTTCACACTTTTAGTTTTTTTTTTATTATATATTTCTGTCTACCATAGTGTAACGTACAACAATTTTATGGGCTCTTTCATTATTTTCCGTACATATTTTACAACACCTACGACTACTACTATAACTACACCAAATTTGTGTGAACATATCTTATTATTTGATCGATGCTAAAACTTGAAAAAACATAACAAAAATACGTTGTTATATAATTTTATTTTTAAAAAAAAAAATAAATTTTGTTATAATTTTAAAAATATGTTTATTAATCGTGTATCTACAGAAGATTTAAATAAACAGAATTCTTCATCTAAAAATAATTCAGAATTTGAATTGAAACAAACACCGGTACATAAAAATCGTGACGATTATGTTCACGATAATTTATCGAAAAATCATCGACCATCATTATCATTATCGAATACTCCATCGTTACATACGAATAAATCTATGTCAGTTTTAGAAGCTGAAACAATGGCATCAATAAAAACATCAGAAAAGTAAGATCTTTTTTTTCTTATTTTCCTAGTATGAACTACTTGTTTATTAGTTTTTAACTATTTGACTCTTATTTATTTTCAAAATCTTTCGTATCTTCTTGATATGCTTCGCTAACACTAATTAAGTCAACAATATTATTAGCTTTTTTCTTATTTTCTAATGAAGATAAAGGCATATTTTGTTACAGAATAATGATGATTTGTTGATTTTCTTTTCATGGGAGTCTGATTTTGTGACATAGTAATGAAATTGACATGCACGTATTTATTTGTATAATTAATTACTTATTGTAATCAATAATATCTTATACGTGTGATATCTGGTTTTTGAATAGGATACCATACCCCTTTTCTCTTTCTCTAACATAACAAAGTGGAACAAGTGAAATATCAACTTATTACAAGTGTTTTTCTCTATTTGTATATATAATGTTAAATAGATTATTTAATTATTGACATAATAAATGTTATATCATCTAACTTCAGGTTATGAGAATTTACTGTTATTCTCATAAGAATAATAAATAGAAAATTATTCATTCTTTTAAAAATATATTGATGATTTGGAAATTACATGATTTAAACATATGACTAGTTTTCATATCTTACTAATACGAGAAATTAGTATAAACTATCTTTGAATACTGAAACTTTTCATTACTCTATACTCTAGGGAACTAATTTTCTAACAGATAAATAAATAACTTTTACAACTGTTGATAAACATATGAATCATTGAAGTGACAGATATAAAAATTACGAATAACGAATTGATAAGGACATAAAAGACAATATGTACGTCCCCTGTAACTATATGACTTGATCGATAGGTTAATCATTCAAGAAATACTGACTCATTTGAGTTGAGTGCATGCATTCTCACCGGACTAGGTCATTTTTTTTCCACTAAAATGCAAATGAGTTCTGATCCAAGAAAACTCATCAATATTTTGTTGCATCGAAATGTGACACTGAATTCTCCCGATTCGTCTCAAATTTCTTGATCTTAGTTCTAACGTTAGTGTTACATTCAAACTAATGTTTTGAAGTGCAACTTTTCAGGCTTACAAGGGAACCTTTCGAGATGTCCCCTTCCGATTCCAATGACTTGTACATGGACCGATAGACCTCAATGAGGTAGTAAATACCGTAAAACCATTTATGACCATGACTCTGGAAGATCCGTTTTTCTGGAAAATCAGTTTTTCAAGAACTCTAAAAAGTAACCAAAACCTTTCTTAATGAGGCATGATTGTAGCCTCCAAATTTCTGATTAAAATGAGACACCTTCCAGCTCTACATGACCTTTCTTTGCAAAGTTACAGAATTTACTAGAAAAGCCCTAAATCAATTTCTTCTTATTGCGGTCGCTTCGCGCTCACAATGCGCATTTAGGGCTTTTCTTGTAAATTCTATAACTTTGCAAAGAAAGGTCATGTAGAGCTGGAAGATGTCTCATTTTAATCAGAAATTTGGAGGCTACAATCATGCCTTATTAAGAAAGATTTTGGTTACTTTTTAGAGTTCTTGAAAAACTGATTTTCCAGAAAAACGGATCTTCCAGAGTCATGGTCATAAATGGTTTTACGGTATTTACTACCTCATTCAGGTCTATCGGTCCATGTACAAATCATTGGAATCGGAGTGGCATCTCGAAAGGTTTCCTCGTTAGCAGCTTAGTGTGATTTGAAATATATTAAATTAAGTAATTAGCGGTTGAACTATCACTGTCCTCATGTTTTTAAACATTAGATCACTTGAAAGTTATTTTGACTAACATTCGGTGTTATTTCAAAAATACAACCTTTATTAAAAGAACCATTCTCGATAGATCTTAAAACTTTGAAGTTGAATTTCAATTAAGTTACATCATTTTTACTAGAAAGTTGTCATGCGTTACCTTCAAAGTCTGACGTGAATTTTGAGAACTATAAGGAGTTATTTTCATATTTCTGTATGGGTATACTGTTCATGTTATGCTGAAGAAGACAAATGTTAAACATCCTTTTCCCTCGATCTTGTCCAATCAGAAATGTTTCGGTATCATCTGTTCACACATTCAGATCTCCATATTTAACTTTGTGTGAATAATTTACAAACATCAGAGATTATTTCCTGAAATGTTCAAGTCTAAAAAAAGTATGTGGAATGATAAAAATGACTTAGGTCGGTGAGCATTCAACTCAAATAAGTTAGTATTCCTTGAATGATTATCATATCGATCAAGTCATACAAATTTCAAATTATTGTCTATGACAATTACAACGAACGTTTATACTTTAGGCCAAAATTGTATGTTTTCTCTGAATTGTAATCCATTATTATTGTGAAACATTGTTTTGTAATGCTTTAACCACCTTTATTCTCTTATTTTTTTCATTTTCATTTTAATGTCAGATTTATACTGATTGTTCGTTCTTCTTCAATTTGGTGCCAAATATCAAAAGAAAAAGAACAGAAATGATAGAGAATGACGTATTTTGTAACTGTTGTTTATTTTCATCAATGAAAGATAGACAATCGACCGTAGAAAGGGTTAAAAACACAAACAGTTTTGCCTGTCTAACAAAATGATATGGTTGAGTTTTTATTTTTGCGTCAATAAAAGACCAGGTAATAAACTAATTCATCAGCTGACCAATACGAAGGGTTTTTTAGTGCATATGAAGAAATCCGCCATTAATAATCATATACACAAAAATAGATACGAAATTCTAGACTATAAAAAAAAACCGAGGTAACGGATGGGATGGTCCTGTGAAAACAGAAAATACTTCTTCTTTTCTTTTCAAAGAGATACAAGAGAAAATAACTTCTTCAGATGGCATCAAATTTGAAAAAACAAAGCAGATAAAAAACTATTATCCATTCCATAATATAAGACTGGTAGGCGTTTTTTGAATAACGCAAAGATAGTAAAAGACAGAGACGTGAGGTTCTCAGCAATCAACAGAGGACAGTTCAGCCTATATTTTCACAACCAAAACCATTTTCCGAAAACATTCAGAAGGTCGATTTTCTAGAAGATCTTTGGAAAATCAGTTCGGAACTCTGAAAATTGAGATAGCAATCTATCAGTGTTTTTCCATAGACAGATAGTCTAAAGTGTCCTCTTCAAAACAGAAACTAAGCGAACTCTTAATTTTTTCTGGTTCAGGCGTGGCATCGGGTCAATGTTTCTTTAGGTGCGGTAAATGAATAGAAACATAGGTAATCGACGACGCTGAATCTCGTGGCAACATGTGTTTTTCACCTAGTCAGGATCCAACCAAATTATGTAAGAGGACACTTTAGACTATGTATCTATGCGAAAAAAACTGATAGATTGCTATCTCAGTTTCTGGAGATTGTCTTTCGATTGTTGAAAATCGCAAGTCTCTGTTTTTTACTGTCTTTGAGTTATTCAGAAAACAACTACGGGCCTTATATTTTGTGATGGATAATAGTCAAAGAATGCGATGGTTGTGTGTGTATTATACTGAGTTTAGGAGAGCAAAATTACCTCGATCATTTACATCTAAATAAAAATTTTTTGAATCATACGATATCAGGAGGATATGCAGAAATAATCCATCATTTTAGGAACATCTATTATTAGTGATAGAATTTTAGAGAAAATATATTTCTCAATAATGATTAATTAAATGAAGACAACTTTTTTATATATAATATCTTTGATGAATAACTAATAAGAACCGTATCAAATAATAAATTAGATCTTTTCTATTGAATTAATACGTCAGATTTAGCACTGTTAATATAATATTTTCTAACCGAAACGCATTTTGATAGTTCTAGATTGATTATCGTTTATATTAAATACGGTAATCAAAACAAAAGAATAGAAAAGGTCATTTATCTGCTCATTTATCTCTTGATTATTCCTAGTTGTACAAACATGATTGAAAAGGGAACAGTTAATAAAAAAAAAAAAAGGTTAGAGAGTGACAATTGCAGGTAGATTTTATTTGCCTTTTAAAAAAAAAAAAGAGAAAAAATAAATGAAGAGTAATAAAAAATGAATGAAGTTTGTTTTTACAAGTACAATGAATTACGTGATGAAAATTATTGATGCCAACAAAAAAAATGTTGACTAATGAAGATCATTCAAAATCTATCTTTTTATGATCAATGTCGATCACTATCATTAACATTTTCTTATTGACGAAGGAAGAGAAAATTTTTCCAGCTAGACAATATTTATTGTTATTTTTTGACAAAGACATAACACAAACAGTATCCGTATCTTCCTGCTTGTTAAAAAAAAATAATGTTAATACGTCGAAATAAAATGACTCATTTTAAAATGTTAAAACAACCATCGACAGTAATATCTATAATACGAAAAAAGCAGATGTTGGCTGTTTTGAACATAAAACGTATTCAAATACTGATTATTCAAAACATTAAGTAAGATGAAACAATTAATAATTATGTTTTTTCTACTTTGAATGACGTTAGATATGGAATTGATCTCTTTGCAAAAAAAAAGAATAAAAATAAAACCTTTGTTTTCAATGGATTTTATTATATATATTTTATTTAACTTTCTTTTTTTTACTTTAGACGTTTAAATAAAATGAGTCTTTCAATTTTATCCGGTTTTATCAATTTTTTATTGCCACTAGCATTACTTACTGGTAAATTTTTCACTAAACGTTTACATTGGTTTTTCTATGTTTAGTTTTATTTATTTAGGAGCTATATTTCGATTTAGCATCGTATCTGTCTTATATGGTTTTCTTCTACTCGTCTTGCCATGGTTAGGACCGTTAACGGAATCGACAATAAGAGGTAATATACAATTTTACATGTTCAATTCGATATGATTCGTCTTTTATAATTATTTTTAGTTCGTTATCGTTTATTTATAATTATTATTTTCTTAGTTAGTTTATTAATGATAATTGCTCAAATATCATTTCAGTCCGTATTATTAGCCAACAAACCATATGGACACACATTGAAAACTTGTAAACAATTAAAAATAGAATAATAATTATTAAATAATCACTTATTTTATTTTAGGCTCAGAGATAGTGCAAATTTTACGTTTATTTGGTCTAGAACGGTACGTTCAATTATTAGAATGAGATGAATAGATTGTTTAAACTGAAAATTATTTTTATTATTATTTATTATTTTTTTTTAGATTGGACAATTCAAATGCTATTCGTATTCTAAGACTTATATTTCCTGATATAATTATATTTGCTATTTCGATCGTTTGTTTGACTATAAGTCGTCGTATACTAATATCTGCTCAACGTAATCGTACAACAACAAATGAAACGTTACTTCTTTCTTCTACGACAACCGCCACTTCATCAACATCTACTACAACATCTTCAAAACAAAAACAGTCACTAGGAACAAAATGGCCACGTTTATTATCAGTTTTACAGCGTATACGTTTATTCATACAATTTATTCTTGTTGGTTTTGCTGCTATTATTTATCCATCAATATTTAATTCAGTGTATTTTCTATTTTTTCTTTCACTTGCTACATTATGGGCTTGTTCAATTAAATTTGGAAGAAAATATGCAATTTTTAGAGGTTTATTATTAATATATGCCGGTGTACATTTATTAGTCTATTATCTTTATCAATTCGGATTTTTTCAAGAAATTTTTCCACAAAAGACATTATGGACAAAGTAGGTGATATTTTGTTTTCATTTATTTATTATTAATATATAAATATATGTTATTTTTCATGTTTTAGTATAACGGGTTTTACGGCATTAGTCACAAGCAATTGTTCAACTAATGAACCTCATTTACAATATGATCTACCATGGTCCGATTATGTTAACCCTGCTGTTGTACTATTACTCTACTTTTATTACGCATTTGAGACGTCAAGAACAATTTTTAAACGGGTAAGTTACTATCAACAAAGAACTATACATTGACGAAATGGAAGATGTTGATCGATAATCTAAAATCTGTGTTTTTAAATTCCATCTTATGTGTGTAGCTCATGGCAGAGTAAGTTTGTCCGAAGAACAACTCCGATTTACTATTTGTAGATCATAACTAGTAGTGTTAACATTTACCTTGTTGAAGACGTAAGATAATATTCGTATTGCTCTGATAACTATAATCACTGTATTAATCAGCTGACAAGGTGAATACGGTATTATACTATAACCACTCTTTAACAAACAGTGTGTGTATACATAACATTTCAGAGAAATATAACTATCGGCTATTCTGGGAGCTTCTTCATGAGCATTATTTCCATTGAATTCACGATATAAAATTTATCTTTTTAGCATAGATCAAACATTAATGTCGGACAACCGGTTGAACAACAGGTAAATGTTTTAATTTTTTTTTTATCACTTTGCTGTGATTAGGATCTCTTAATCTGTATAATACCAAAATATTTTCTCGCTTCTGTATTGTGTTTATAGCTCACAATTTTTTGTTAAATTTGTGTATTGCAGGCAAATACTACCAGTAGTGTTTTTGTTATTGATTCTGTGAACGAGAATGATCGTCTTAATCATTCGCATAATACACAGCAGTTAAATCAAATGAATTGTCATCCAGACCTTGAGCACTGTCCTTATTATTGTTCGTACGAGAGAAGAGCATCATCATCATCATTCACTTCTAATACTCCATTTGATGATAATTATAAACAGGTTCGACATTCGACTAGAGCATGCCTCCTCCATTCTCATAACTTTTCTCTTAGTTAGAATTTCTTCTTTATCAAAGAATGCTTTACCAATTCTTAGCCAAATACTTTATTAATTAAACATTCAATCAATCTGCTTCTATTCATTTTTCTGCTATTTTTTGTTTTCTGATTTATATAATTAATTTTCAATAGTCAAATATTAAACTTTCTTTTTTTTTGTTTTGTTTTTAGCGTTTAGTCATTAGTGAATATCATTCACATTCTCCGGATTTCGAAGAACAACGAAGAAGTCCAATAGCAACAGAAGCCGTAGTTGTTGATAATAGTCCTTCTAATGACGCACCACCGTTGCAACATCATCGCCTATCTCGAACATGGAGTGCCGAACATCATGATGATCAAACATGGCAAGGGCGAATGATCTATATCATTATATCCATTTTACGTGTACTCGAAAAACAAAGTTATTTATTATCATTAATAGCCATGCTGGTATGAAAAACTAAGTTTAAATATTTAAATGACTAGTATAATTTATCTCTTTAGTAGTTTATTTTTAAAAGTTTAATCTAATTATAATTCTATCTTTTCTTTTTAATTCTTTAGGCGTGGAGTATAACCTATCATAGTCTATTAACATTAGTATTTTTATTATGGGCATGTTTCATTTGGATATTACCTCGATCACGCGTATGGTGTTTACGATTATCACCATTTTTTACATTCTATGGTACTGGATTATTAATTTTACAATATTTATCCGGTTTCAAAATAAGTTATCAACAATTAAACTTTGGTCTTAATCAATCATTCATGGAACAAATTGGCATTCGAATAAATGAGTTTCAACCAGCATTTATTCCATTACTTGTCAAAGTATGAATATTAATTTATTATGATCTTTTTTGTTTTCAGATATGTAAAATATTTGTTTGATACTTTTATAGTCGTTTTACATGGTATTTTTTTGGTTAACATTACGACAATTCATATCAGAAATTAGAAATTCAAGAACATTATCAGAACACGATACTGGTAAATATTCTTTATCAAATTTTTAATTTGAAAAGCTACTTTAAACAAAAGATTCATAATATGAACTCCAGTACTAAAAGAAATATGTATTTATTTATAACTATTCTAGAGTTAGTATTTATTTATACCTATTCTAGAGTTAGTATTTATTTATAACTATTCTAGAGTTAATATTTCTTTTTGACAGTTTTTAACCTGTCTTTTAGTAGTTGAACTTCGGGAAACAAGCGAACGGTAGGATGCTCTAGAATTGTGAATATTATAACAAATATGTATATGAAAAGCTCCACACAGAATTAAGCTTTCTCTAATCAAAATTTGATTGTGAATAGTCAGTTCGAAAAGCTAAAAGGCTATCAAATTATTTTTATCCTATATTCTAGTAGTTGAACTATACGGATTAAACGGTAATATCAGTCTTTTTTTCGGATTTTTTTATGTGCAAAAGCTCAAAACGACTGTGTTTTGCTTTTTTTTCTCGTAATCATTCGTATTTATTACTGGAAAGTAGCGAGCGTATAATTAGAAAATCTTGAACACATACTCGAATATTCTAGAAATGTGTGCGAGTGGATGGGTAACTAGAAAATGAAACACAGTGTTGTTAATTGATTAAGTTGAAGCAGACTCATTTGTATAAGGAGATTTTTGTCTAATTTGTTTTGTGTGCATATGTGGTACACAGTTTGATTGCTGAATTATTGGTATGTTATTAATTTTCTTTTCATACATAATTACTTTCATTTTTGCTTAGGTAGAAAGATCATTATTGTTTAAAGTGATGATAGATTATACTAATTTTTATTTTTATAATTGTTTTGTTGTAGGTCAAGGACAAATTCGTTTATCAAGCGAATCAAGTACACGTTCTTATCCCCGACGACTAGGTAAAGTATTTTAATATTTTTCTCAGTATTTTTTACTTTGTAACATTTTTTTGATTTTGTTCTAGGACGTTGGATTGTCAATATAATGACAAAATATTGGATATTTATCTCGTGTGGCATGCTGTTATTAATGAGTATTCAACAGACGGTTGTTGCCTACAGAATTATTTATATGATGTTCTATCTATTTTTCATATTATCTTTCCAAGTATGCTTACTCTAGATTTATTTCGTTTTGACAAATACTTAAATGTCTGAATTTTAATTATTTTAGATTTCTTTTGGTTTTTGGCGGCGTACAACGGCTGTTTTTCATCTTGTCATTATCGTGTATTCAATGATAGTTTTAATCGTTATTTATATTTATCAGTTCAAAGCAGTTTATGATTGGTTACAGAATCGAATAGATAAAGTGTGGTAAGTTATATTAGAAGAGGTATTTTAAGTAAAAATGAATTTTCATAATTTTATTCCATTTTTTGTTTTCAAAAATATTCCCGTTCTATGTTACGATAATAATTTAAGACAATAAAACGATTTGGACTAAGTTATTCATTAGAGTTAAAAGTGTACTACTTAAAATATTTGCTTTTTTCAGGTTGTTATCGGTGGGTTTAGAAGATTTAGGCACAGATGCATTAGCTGTTAAATTATTAACGCCAAGCACATTTCTTGTTGTGAATATTTTACAATTATATTACTTCCATTCGGGTTGGATGGCCATGATTACAATAAAAAGGTACTGTTTTTTTACAAAAACAAAACAAAAATAACTGTTTCTACTGATAAATTTATCATAATCATCTATTTAACTTTAGTGATAAAAATATTCAAGGTCCAGCAACAGCCACATTACAAGATATTCATAAATATGCTAAAGGTAACTAATTTCATACTTTTTTCTATTGTTTTTATTTGTAATTATGATGTTTTGTTTTTGTTTTTATAGAAAATGTTAAAAATAGTGAATATCGTCAATCAGAATCAATATTAAAAACAAAAGCAACAAATTGGCAAGAAAGTCTATATAAATTATATTTTCGTTTAAATCGTATTTATAAAAAAGTAACATATTATGCGTGGAGATTTGCTGAAATACATATGTACAAATTCGTTTTATTCGCTATGATTCTCGTTGCTACATTAAACGTACGTATTTTGAAACAGAAATTAGACTAATATTGTCTATAATATTTTTTGATTTTTAAATCATAGGTATCAGCATTTAATGTTGTTTTGATCATATTGGCAACAATTGGCTTAGCTCTTTTTCGTTTACGACCATTAATCAATTTATTAACATTAATTGCCACTGGTTTATACATTGTTGTATCAATGGGTTATCAATTAGAAGTAGTAAAACAAGAATTTATTCAAAAAGATGTTTTTATTCACAATTGTACACCTGTATGTATTCTATTCTTGTATTAGAGCTGTATCAAATAAGGAATAACTCTATCTTTTCAGATCTTGACAAATGTATATAGACATGTGCTAACATTTGTCAAGGTCTGAAAAGATAGAGTTATTCCTTATTTGATACGGCTTTACTGTTGAAATTATTCAATGAGTAAATCTTACGCGATTAATGACTCTCTCATGTTTTACGATATATTTCTTCTATTTTAGTCATTTTTGAATATAACTGACAATGGATATTTGCCCAATGATACAGCAAAATGGTTTGGCTTTGAACTGACACCACGTATTGACCGATATATCGGAGTAAGTTACACAATTTTTATTCCATTAATGCTTTGTAGTATTTGTATGATCACTAGTACTATTTTTATAGAATAGTTAGAACTCAAATGTTGTTCACTATTTTAGAGTCTACTAAAAATATTTTATTTTTTTTTCTACATGTTTTAGCTTTATATATTTTTAACATTAGTATTGACATTTGATGCCATATCACGATATCGTCAACGTCATCGTCGAATGGAATTATCTCACAAATTTAATGTACATTTGATTGAAAATAAATATTCCATTTTATTTGAACCGTTTTGTTTAAAAAATACGGAAGATGACTCATATGAATATGATATTGTTGATTATAAACGAGCTGACGACGGAATTGTACCATTTTTAAAATATTTTTCAAATTTTCTTTTCTATCGTTTTGGAATAGAGGTAAATATATTTATTAATCCTTTTTCTATTGTAAATTTATTATTTATTATTTTGTTTAGATTTGTAATGTAATGACTGTTATTGTAATTGCTGTTAGACTAGATGTAATGGCTGTTTTGTATGCCATATGGCTGGGTTTATTTCTGATGTCAAAACGACGAGCTCTCATAAAAATATGGCCAATCTATTTATTATTTTTACTCATTGTATTTCCAGTGCAATATATGATTGTCGTTGGTCCACCACCATTTCTTTGTTTTCGTAAGTAAAAACATTAATTTTGTTATAATTTGTTTTCTAGAAATATTTATATGTATACTGTTTAGGATATTGGTGGTCACATGTATCATTTGATGGGTGGCCACAATTAAAACGTTGGCTCTATTTGCCAGACTATGTTAATCCTCCAAGTGCTCAACAGCTAATTGGTAATTGAAGAAACAACTTTTGAATGTTTTAATATCATTTTTTTTTATTTTTCAGCCGATTTTTTTCAATTATTATGTGCTAGTCAACAGTGGCGTGTATTTGTCCATGAAAATAATGAAAAAGATAGTGTGTTCACAGATGCAGGTGGTTCAAATCGTGAGATTATCTATGATAAAGATTTATACGTAGATAATCCAGCATGGGACTATGTGATGAAAAAACGGTGTGTTCTCTTTTAAAGTAGACAATGATAAAATATTTCTTTCTATTTTAATTTATTTTAGACACTGGCTTGATCAACTTAAATATATCGTATTCATGTACGGATGTTGGACAGTGTTGGCTATTGCTTATTTGGCTGGAACAACACGTATTAGTCTATTAGGTTTAGGTTATTTAATCTCATGTTTCTATTTTCTATGGTATGGACAAGAATTTTTAACAAAACCAATTCTCAAACTAATAAAAATGTAAGTATATTTTCAAAATCATCAGTTTTCTTCCGTATATACATTGATCAAGGAATAGATTTAAAACCAAGATGTGACTATTTCTGATAAATTTAGAAATAATGTTCATTTCATTTTAGGTGGAACTATTTAATCTATTATTGTTTTGCTGTTATTTTTGTCAAAGCCTGTCTGCAGGTATGTATGTCTTTTTTAACTACTCGTTAAATTAGATAATAAAGAATTTTTTTGTCGAAATATCTCCTCTTCAAGACAAAAATTAAGTCTTGCAGAAAAAAACGACAACTTAATAGAGTAAACAAACAAAAATTGTTATTTGACGCGTTTCTGATTATTATTAGCAGAGATAGAGAGTGATATGAGAACAGGTGTCTTAAATGGAGACTCTTCTTAAACCCAACTTATACCTTGGAATTTTATAGTTAAATATTTTCTGCAGGAATAAACGCTTTAACCATAAAACTATTTTCTGATTGCTTGCTTAAAATATTAATCGTGGGGCCATATAAAATAAAACTCATCAGGCAATATTTTATATCTTTTTATAATGTGTTTAATATAAGTCCGAAAAAGAAAAACAAGAAAAAAACGACAACACTAATTTCCTTTCAGGTCGTAGCGTGTGTCGGTTTTGTTAGCACACAATGTTGGGTTATACAAATATTTGCCATAACATGTTTAAAATCAGGCGCACAGTTGTTCAATGATTATTCCGAACTAGGTTTATTATTCGTTCTTCTAGGGATTTATTTATAATTTCTGTTCAGCTTGTGCATAAAACCCTCTATTTATTTAGTTAATTCTTAGAGTATATGGTTAGATTTTTTTTTCTTTCCTTATGAACCTTGCTTACTTTTGAATGGTTCTTAAAGTCTTTGGGAATAGTTGAAATGGCTTTGTTTTTCTTATCGACTGTACAGCAACCACTCAAGTATTCTTCAAACAATTTACTTAGAACTTTGACTGTTAATTTTGTGTCCGTTTCTGTTGGATAGAAACCTTCTTTCATGGTATTATCTATTCTTTATTTTACTATGCATCAAATAAATAGGGCCTCTTCGTCAAGATTAATTTACTTGCATGAACTATAGGTGTTTTTTTATTTTTATTGTTTATAAATCTAGCTGCTTGTTCCTATTGAACTTATTGGTTTTCTTTTTCTCTAGGTGGTCGTTTGTATATTTTTGTACAAATCAATTGCTTGTGGTGCTATAGAATCTGCTTTTTTTTGTGCATTTATCGATCTATTTGTTCCTTGTTTAAAACAAGAATATATACCACAAAACAATAATTGTAATACTGGTACCAAGGGTGAGAAAGAGAGACATATATATATATATATGTGTGTGTGTGTGTATGCATATAAGGCACATTTTTTATAGGTTTAATAGATTCTTGCTTGCTCCTTTATTCTCATATTGTTTGAAAATAAACGTATTAATCTATTATTTTCTCTCATCTTTCTCATTTAGATATTAATCAGCCGTGTGATCGAAGTGCTGGTGATGCAAGTTTATTCATGTACGTAATTTTTAGTTGTTGACAACATATATCTAATGAACATATGATCTTTCGTTTAGGGATGGATTTTGTTTAATATTTCTTCTGTTACAAAAACGGATATTTAGTAGTTATTATTGGGAACATATCGTTACCGAATTACGTTCACAAGCAAAATTAGCTAGTCAGTGAGTAAAATACCTAAATATTCGATTTTTCAACTATACACTAATCTTTTATGTTGATATTTATATTACCAAATCTATTCTAATTTTGATAAACTAACTAGTTCGTTTTCTTTTGTTTGTATTTCTAGAGGAGCTGTTCTATTTAATATGATAACTAAAAAACGTATAGACGAAGATATTGAACGTGAAAATGAAACGGTACGAAAAATAAAATGTAGTCTCGAACGTATCAAAGCACAACAACAAAAATTAAATCAAACCGGTGGACTACCGGACGAATCATCCGAACATTATGAAGGTAAAAAATTACCATTCTCATCTCATATCCACTATAAAACATAAAAATCATTCTTTATTTTTAAGCAATTCGTTCGGGTGATTATTACATGTTTGACTATGAATCGGATGAAATCGTAGATGAAAGTAAAAAGGATGATGCTACAGCTGCTCAAGAACAAGTAAATGTTTAATCAAATTAGAAAACTGTATTCAAACTGATTTTTCACATTTCTTTTTTATTGTCTAGATTTTAGAAGTATTAACGTCGGATAATGATACTGACTGTAAGTAATATGACCTATAGCAGATACAATTAATGTAAAATAATAATTTTATCATTTTCAAGTGCAAACAACATCCTTAGAAGATAATTTACAACCTAATCAAACGCTCACGACATCGTCTATTGAGGAAGGAGAAGTACCAATGCCGATACAACGAAAAAGTAAAATGTTTTGTCTTTATCTAATTGACAAAATAGTCTTCATTAGTTCATTCAACCAGTTCGAATAATTATTTGGAATGTTTTTCGTTTTTCTAGAATCAAGAGGTTCTGTAATGAAACCGATATTTAAAAAAATTAAAAGTATAACGAAAATAATCGTCGATTACTGGATTAATTTATTTAATCATTATTCACAAGATTATCGTCAAGTATCTCGAAAATTAGCTGAAATGAAATCAAGAGATAAAGTGGTTCGACAGAGTATCATTGAACAAGATAAACAACAATCTCGAATAACAACTTCAGAAGGAGTAAGTAGTGTATGCTAATAGAGATTAACACATGATTTTCGTTAATGATTCAACAACTAGCTAGAACAGTATTTTACTTATTATTTTTGTTTTTGTAAGGCTCCAGTTATTGATTTGGATCCTCTTGCTGGTGGTGATAATAATTTGATTGTTCAACCAAAAGTGTATGTACTGTCAATTGTAAACATCATCAATTACGCCTAAAATTTATTATTTTTTATTTAGTCAAACAACGGTCCAAGTTGAAAATGATGATGTACTGGCAAATCGTTCTCGATTCTATCGTTTATTAGATTCTATATTTTACATGTTAATGTCTCGTTCTGAATTATTATGTTATTCATTTATGGTCATAAATCATTTAACATCTGGTGCTTTATTATCAATGCCCTTACCATTGTCTATTTTTCTATGGGCAATGCTTTCATCACGTCCATCTCGAAATTATTGGATTACAGTTTTGACTTATACTGAAGCAATGATTGTTATTAAATATATATTTCAATTTCGATTTTATCCATGGAATGTCAAAGGTTTTGAAGAACAACGGCCACTAGCTCCTGTGAATATTATTGGCATTGATCGAAAAGGAGATGCGGCATCTGTTGCTGATTTATTTCTGTTATTATCGTTGTTTTTACATCGATCAATATTGAAGGTAAATAAATAAATAAATAAATCATTATCTATTTACATAGTCAGTTTGTTTACTCGTCTTGTTTAAAAAAACGAATTTTAAATACTAAACAAGAGGAAAAATATAGTATTTAGTGCTAAAAAAAGATATTGTCACTATTGTATACCATGTTTATTTGAATATGTTTTGCGTATTTTATTTTATAGCAAATGGGTTTATGGAAAGCCGATCATCAACTGCCAGAATTACCGACAACAGCACCGGTGAAAACTGTACAAACAATTTCAAATAGTTCCGAAGATATTGCTCAAACTGAGCCAGTAGTCAAATATGAGCAAAGAGTGAAAAAGTAAGAAGAAGAATATTCTTATTTACCTTCATCTTCCCGTAACTGCTTCTACATAAATCTAGACGAATGAGAAAATATGTTCATAGGTTAAAGTAAGTTAATGAATTAAGAACAACCTTGTATGTATGCAGATAATTCCTTCTTCTTGAGACATAAACAGCATGAACGACAACTTTACTTTCTAACATATTTAAAACACTAGCGTATGCATGTCTCTTTGTAACGAGGACACAAGTCAGTTCACTTTATTGACAAACAGTCATAAGCACACAGTAGCACAAGTTGGAAAAAGAAAAACGCGCCTAATACAGAAATGTGATGTGAGTGACATATTCTACCGCACATCCATATAAAGTCAATTATCTTTGAGAATATACAGGCTAAATTAGATAAAAGACTGATAGTCGAAGTCACACTAGTTTATAAGAATCTTTAGTACGATCAGATAAATACTTAAATGTAGTTCATATTCTTCTTTGACAAGTTAAGAGTAATAGAAGAGAAGTTTAGATAAAAAATTAGATGAATTTCTTATTTTTGTATTTTAGGCAAACCTATTTTATGAAGCCGATTATAACGTTTTATCGTCGTTTAAAACAAACATTATTTGTACGAGATGTTTATGCACCAATGTTCTTTTGTGATTTTTTGAATATGCTTGTAATCATTATTTGGTATAGTCAATTCGGAGTAAGTTTGATAGAAAAAAACAAATAATTAGCAAAATTGTATAGTGTAGATAAAATAATTATAATTTTTCTTCTTACAATTACTGTATGAAACGTAATGAGTTATATACTTTTAGTTGTCAAGATCTTATCAGGTAACATTTTCTTTTTGTTTTTTGCAGTATTTCCCGCCTATCCAAAAGCTTTATTTGTTTTCTGCACGGTGTCAGCCACCTTTCTGTAGTTACTTTTTTATGGGGACCCCTCCTCAGGAAAAACCTTTTTTATCTTATATCCGATTTCGGTGGTGCTTACAGTGATTAATGCTTACTGCCCAACTAGCTTCGACTAAAAATTCGAGATCGAAACGGTGAAGCGTTGCTGAGTTCTTGCGTAGCAAGGGACAAAATGGGGCTCTTAGCAAAAGCGCTAAGGCTTTTTTGTTGGCAGGTGCAGAAGGCTGCGGATAATCTCAAATGAAACTAGACACCTAAATGTAAAGTTTGTCTATAGCGTTTTTTGAATTTCGCTTCTGTTCATTCTCTACACGTATTTTAAGTTAGAACTCCGAAAATATCTCTAAAATCGAAGGAGTATTTTCCACTTTTCTCTGCACAGAAAACGAAATTCAAAAATCGCCACAGGCAAAATTTAGATAAATGTTTTAGCTTCAAAATAAAAGAATGCAAGTTTTACAATGAATCGTCTAGGAGAAGATACAATTTTGCTGCGCCAAAACCATATTCTCAGCTATGATATTAACACTTCATTTATTATAATTATAGTCTTTCGCAAAACTAGTATGATTCTGCAAGGCGAAGTCGTACAAACCTGTGTGACATTTCGTTCTGATCAGAATATTCTGCTCAACACAACTCCATATCTGTTAAAACGGACAATCATAAAAATTTTAATGAAAATGTGAAATTTAGAAAAAGGCGGTTTTTAAGACTTTCAGAAATCTTTTTCAAAAACCTCCAGAGGCATTGAATTTTTGGTAAACTGAGACGAATTTTGAAAGATACTTTGGATACTAAACCGTATGGTTACTTCAGTTTCGAAATTTTTTGAAGAAAAAAATCGAATTCTTGACGGGGTCCCCTTAAGCAACACGTACTGCTCTTTGTTTAATGAGAATCAATAGAGCAGATAAAAATGAAATTTAATGCTTGATATTGTATTGCTTATAAACACACGAACCACAGAAACACAAGCGTTTCAAAATACCAAATGATTATTTGTTCCGTCAAATAGAGAAAAGATTTAGCTTAAATCACTTAAAAATGTAGTCATAATTATCTGATAAAATGTTGAGAGAAATGATATATGTATTATATAATGTTCACAAAAGACGAAATAAGGAGAGGAGGGATTCACAAATAGATAATATTGTTTTATAGTATAAATAATGTGCGTTTTCCAAAATCTTAACAAACTGTATTTTGTTTTTTAAGGAACGTGCTGGCGGTAATGTTGTTCAAACAATTAAAGAAAATAAAGTAAGTTTTGTATTAAATGTAGATTTATTATACATAATTAGTTAATTTATCTCTAGGTTCCTGTTGCTTTTCTGGCCATATTATTAATTCAATTTATTTTAATTATTATTGATCGTGCTCTCTATATTAGACGTAATGTTCGAGGAAAATTCATTTTTCAAATTCTTCAAATTATTGGTGTACATGCATGGCTATTTTTTATATTACCGGGCATAACAAGAGTGTATGTGATTACTTTCTTGTAGACAATTTAAATCGAATATATTAGAAATTTCTTCTTTTTTTTCTCTTTTCTAGTAAATTTCGTAATAATGGTGCCGCACAGTTATGGTATTTATTAAAATGTATTTATTTTGGCTATTCGTCTATACAAGTACGATGTGGTTATCCAAAACGAATTGCTGGAAATTTTCTAATGAAACGTTTTAATTATATTAATCAAATATTGTATAGAGGGTAATACTTATTAAAACAACTTTCATTTTCATATATCAATGCATAAATTTTATTTTATTTATTTTAGATATTTACTTGTACCATTTTTACTTGAATTACGAACAATTATGGATTGGATGTTTACAGATACATCACTAGGTTTATCAAGTTGGCTACAATTAGAAGATATCTATTCAAATATGTATCTCTTAAAATGTGCAAGATGGGCAGAAACGGTAATTGCAATTTACTAAACTTTATTTCTATCTTTTAATGGAGAAAATACATGTAATACAAAAAAAAACAAAAAAACAAAACAATTTCTTGGTTCAATATTATGTCAGACGTTTAGTAATAATTATCATCGTTTTATTTCGTTTTAGAAATATCCGACACCTCGTGGTCAAACTCGCCCAAAATTAACAAAGTATGGTGTTGGTGGTTCTCTGTTGGCTCTGTTAATCTTGCTCATTTGGTTTCCGCTGTTATTCTTCTCTTTTACATCGTCATTTTATCAGAAAAATCCACCGGTTGAAGTGACAGTTGAAATTAAATTAGGAGGATATTTGGTTAGTTTTGTTATCATACTTTTAAAATAAGAATATAATTTAGTAATTTTGTATGCTTTCTAGCCAATTTATCGTATGACAGCTCAAAATGGTGACATATCTCCATTTATAGCAGCGGATTACAATGAATTAAGAACGAAAATTGGACAACCTGCCAATACTGAAGTATGTCATTCAGTCATATATTTTGAATGACTTTTAAAAGAGTTTTGTTATAGGATGCTGCCGCATTTATTCGCGATTTCAATTCTGATGATATAACATGTGTTAATATGTTGGCTAAATCAACAGAAATATGGCAAATAAGTCAACCGATACGAGATATTTTAATCACTGATTTAAGTCAAAATAAATCTATACCAGTGCGATTTTCATACACAATTGTTCGGTTAGTACTAGTAGTAATAAATTGTAAAAGAATTTATATAAACATTATTAATACTCTTTCAGAGCGCCTCCAGGACAAGATGATGCCGAAGATATAACAGCAGAAGTAGCAAATGAACATACTATCTATATTCTACCAGAAAATGAAGGATTAAGACAATCATTAATCGATATATTAAATGGAACAATAGAGACAAGAACGTCCATGTATGTATTCACTTTATTCTCATTTATTTTCATAACCTTAAACTTGTTGAAAATTAATACTAGTTTGGTAGACTATTCATATGTTAAAAAAATAATATATAATTATCTAATTTATTTTAGAAATATAACAATTTTAAGATTAATGCCTCGTTTTATCCATGTCAAACCAAAAGCAAAACCGGAAGAAATTGAATCATTTAGGAAAGGTATATTTTTATTTGAACTGATGTTAAAGTTTTCTGCATTGTTGTCTTTTTTGTTGTAGTTTTTCCTTATAATTATTATGCAAATATAACAATGGGTCTGAAAGCAACGCCAAATAGTACTGATGTATGGTGGGAAATGCATGAAAATCCAGATGATAAGACTCCGCAACAATTTAATCCTTCATGTATGTTGTATCTTACTGTATACATTACCATCGTCAGACTTTCTCGCTATTCGTTGTCTATTTCTTTTTTTTTATTGTAAAAATAACAATATGATTTATCATTTCTAGGTATAGCAACAAATCGAGCCGATTATTTAACGTTGATTATGTTTAATGATAAAATTTCACCAGCTAATATATCATTTTTAACACGATACGGGTTAGTCAGATTTTATTTATAATTTTCTCTTCATCTTTGAAATTGTTGCATGAAAACCTATAGACGGACTTCGACTTTTAGAAGCTGACTTATTCTTTGCTCTTCAATGCATGTCCACGCTCTTTACTAACGATCAAGCTACAGCCATACTAATTTTATTAATACTTTTACATTGATGCTTTTATTGAACGAGATATATCTCTGTGTTGAAGAATTAAATACTAACATTGAGCATATGATAAATATTGATTGGAAGTGTTAATGATCTAAGATTTTGAGTATTCTGGGTGCCTTCTTATTACTAATACTGTTTTAGCTATGTAATTTTAAATTTTAGATAAATTTAAAAGATTTTAGCATGTGTGTTATGTTTTTTTTGTATTATTTTTCTATTTAACTATCAGATTTCAAATTTCTTATGTTATAGAATTCTAAAAGACACCTTCAAATTCTTGTTGTTTTGTGCATTGTGTTTTTTTTTTTATTAAAAATGATGTTATGCACATTCGTCACCTATAATTTATGTAGTGATTTAACAATTTTAGTTATCTTTATCTTTGCCTGGTGTCTTCTCTCTGTTTTTTTCATCTTCTATTTCCTATTAGTGGCAGAAATTAAACATTTCTGACAATTTAGAATTGTCACTGTTTCTAATATTTTTTTCTCTATTGTCATTATACACAGATAGATTTTCGATTATGTCTTCCTACAAGACTTGTAAAAACAGATGAATTTTATTGACAGTAGACGTCTCTATTTATTGAGTGACTATTCCACATATAATTAATGAAGATAAATAGAACAGCAGAAGGATCAGTATAATCAAGGATACTTGATAATACTAGCTAGCTAAAATAGGAAATATTCATATGATTTTTTCAGTTATTTACAATAGATTAGCAAATTATAGCATGCAAAAATTTGTTCGTGATCTTTCCCAACAATCTAATGTAAACTAGGGGCATTTGTAGTAGCGTCATCAACAATAATTTCAAGATATTATTACTTTCCATTGATATTTACGAGAAAAATTGACTATATTGTTAATTATTTATTACAACTTTTCATATTTTTGATTGATGAAAATTTAAAGCGCTGCTCTGTCTTGGCTTAGCTTCATACAACAAAAATAAATTCGAATATTCTTTTTCCTGTCGACATTTATAAGTTACTATAGCTTTTTTTATATTATACGTTCGAGCAAAACTCATCTGCTATTTTAAGTTTATGCTATGCTCCTCTTTATGTTAGCTGACATAACCTCTTACCGAGATTATTTGAAGAAGACTAGAGGTAGAATCTATTTGTGTATATATATCACTCTATCATACCCAAAACCGGCCATTTTTTCTATTCCTTTCTATTCATCCAGAATCGTTGGCATTTACACAACAATTGTATTGGCATTAGCTCAGTTTATTCGTGGTTCATTATTTAGCGGTCCAAATAGTATTATGTTCGAAGAATTACCGCAAGTTGATGCTCTGTGGAATTTTATTAGTGATATTTATTTGCTTAGAACGGTTGATGAATATATGATTGAAACCGAATATTTTGAACGATTAATTTACATTTACAGAGATCCACAAGTATTACTTTATTGGACAAAAGAAAAAAAACAGTAGTGATTTACTCGCATTCACTCATCAAATCAAAATAGTCAAATAACTTTCTATTTTTCTATCTCTTAAATGGTGTTAGCCTTTAAATAGCAGCAGTTAGTCACACGCAGATTTCTGTTTGTGAAATGTTCTACACTCTAGTCGTTGATCTCTTCTGAGAGAAAAAATGAAAAATCCCGAGGAATTCTTAAGAACCGTCTCTAGATATCCCTATTTTTATGGATTTCCTGACAATATTTATTCACGATTTTGTTTTATAACCTTATATTCTCTATACGGAACACCAAAATTTTCAATATTTTCTCCCATTGAGTAAATAACTAACGTATCGATTTAATTGCTACCTTCAAACCTTAAACTACTAAGAAGATGGCATCTATTAAATTTCTTGTTTTGATATAGAAAAACAAAAAAGTATATCATACACAAGATACGAACACTCAATTCTTTAATTCCATGAAAGTATAAAAAAGAGAACGCAATGAAAATTTCGAGAGGGTTTTTAACAGAGTTCCTAGCGATTTATTTTTGCACGATCGACCAGGACTGTGTTTTCTTTTGATAGTCAATTTGTTTTTTCTATTTTTTTTTTCCTCTATTCTAAAACATTGTGAAGATGTAGCTTTTATTTTTAAATTCTCTAAAGTCAGTTTTTTTTCATGCATATTCTTCAAATCTCTATCGATTCTTAGCTCCATATAAATAGGTCAAATTTTTGTTTCACTTTTGTGAAACATCCACGTTCTATCCCATCGCATTTGTAAAAGAGGATTATCCTCTAATTGTAGATTATTGCAGAAAATTTCATCTTTAACTCTGTGCAAAAGTATATTACTGATAAACTTGTGCATATTTTTGAGATATGCAACTGAATGAAAATCTGTCTCTTTTTCGTTGACACTGATATGTCACAAAAATTAGTATAGAATATACTACATAGTGGACTATTTCAAGTTCAAATTTAGACTTGAAATAGAATAATGTGCACTGTTTTGTGATTCTGAATATTTTTCACGTGATATTTTCGTACATAATTTTCCATTCTATCTTTGTCGATATTTTATACTGGTGGATGTATAAATCTGCAAATTTTTTTGTACATTTTATTTTTTTGATAAAATCTTATTTTTGGAATGTATCCTATCTGTTTTATTGTTTTTGTTTTTGAGAATAAATCATTTTTGAATGAATGAATGGAAAAATAAGGGACAAACTCAATGAGAAAAACTATGTTCTCTCTCTCTTTCTCTAAGAAGATAAGATTATTTTTGTTTATCTATTTTAGGATAATTGGTATTTATACAACGTTTGTATTAGTTGTTGCTCGATTATTGCGTACAATTTTACAAACATCGCAGACAATAATGTTTAATGAATTACCTTATGTTGATCGAATATGGCATCTACTATCAGATATTTATCTTGTACGAGAACATTTATATTTATTTATTGAAGAACAATTATTTGCGAAACTTTTATTTTTATATCGTTCACCGGAAACACTGATTAAATATACTAAACTAAAATATGAGTGAGATGTTTTGATATATATTTTTCCCGAGCTTCATAACTTTTTCTTATTATAAAAATTGCCCAGTTTTTATGTTTAGTTAAAAAATAAGTCTTAGAAGAATATAGGAAATTAAATTTCTTTCTATCTGCTTCTATTTTTTGAGCTTTATTATGTGCTATGTTTGTTGTCTGATGTAGTGTATATATCTATATATGTATTGAAAGATATAAATATATTATTAAGACAAAATATATTATTTTTTTAAATATCGCTGTGATATAATAAATTGCGCGGATTATAGTTTTTCTCTTCTTGGTGAAATTTTCTATTGCTCATTCTTTTTTTGATGACTACTATTTTGTATATAGGACTACTTTATCTGACATTCGTACTTTTTTGTTGTTGATAGCCGAGCTTTGGTATTATTTCATGACATTTGGTCCACTTTTGTCTATTTCTGATGATAGTTTTTTGATAAATGTTTTTTTTTATTTTGGGGATATTTGTTTACTTTTTTTTATATTACAGATTGTATTAGGGTGGTGTATGCTTATGAAATAAAAGAGGAAAAGTTCAAGTTCATATTAGAGAAAAAATGTGTTATTACAAGAATTAATTCGAATAATTGTTGATGCAGAAACACTTCAGATATTTAGAAATATTTCACACTACACGTTAGTATAGATTGTTTAGACAGACAGTCCGATATCACGAATGATATCCCCATCGACATATATATTCCATCCTGAATATAGAGTGTATATCCTGCACAGGATATTCACAAAAAATTATATTTTTATCGGGATATTTCTACAAAATATTTCTGGAAAAATTATTATCGGAAAAACCGTGACTGTATTGCAGAAAAGTGATTTAATCACGAAAAAACGGACGAAAAACTGATTCGGATTTCATGCTGTTTTAGTCTTTATTCAAAGTTTATCATTTATTATTTTTTAAAACAAAAGTGTATATCTTGATCGGGATATACAAAATGGCCTGATCGGGATGTTATCCCATGCATTCATTGTTCGATGCTTTTTTGAGTAGCTTATGTCTAATTCATAATAGTCTACTCGCTTCGCCTTCCATTCCAGTTCAATGTTATGGATAATAAATAATATTGATCAATAAAGATATGCTAAAACATTTTGAGTAAAAATGATTATCTTGTTAGCAAAAACTGCAAATTTGTATTTGTTTTTATTTCATGTGTAAAATAAATAGAAGATGATTTTTTAGACTAAGTGTCATCAAATTCTTAGACACAGACATATACACACACATACACAAAAAAGATGAGAAATAAAAAATATATTTCGCACTACGCATAGTCAACCTCGTTGGTTTACTTCTTTGGTTATGATTATTTTTAAACGTAGATTTACAAGTAAATATGCACTAAGTGTACTCTACAGTCTTGTTATAGACAAAACCACTTTTATTTAAAAACAAACTCTCACTCATACACTCAAAAATAAAACCCACAATGTCCTCGTGTACCGTCAGTCTATTATATTCCGTTCAGGATATAACTTTATATTCTGAACGGGCTATATCCCGAAGAGGATATATATTGTAGTCCGAACGAGACATATAGCCTAATCAGGATATCATAACCCGATCAGTCTATATTTTTACATTCCGAAGGGTATATATATTCTCATAGGGATATATACCTCGTTCGGTCTGTGAGACCGGATTGATAGACAGTCGTTGTCTTTTGAAAATTACTTTTGAGGTGGAAAAACCAGTAGTTCGATCTGGTATCACATGATTAATTTGTCTCTCATCGAACACGTGTACTATACACCAAATAAGCTAATGATAGCAGAAAAAACTTGCTATCATTGAAAAATTTTAATTTTTAGTTGCTATTTAGTGTGTACAGTTCAAGTATCTATTTTAACAATTCCAAGTTTTTCATGATTGGTTCTGCGGATACGTCTGCACTGTTATATGATAAAAGTCTTAATTCTGGTTATGACTTAAAAAAAGAGAATTTTCCACCGGTTGAGAAAAAAATCCCTCTTCTTTTATTTTCATTTCATTTTTTTAAGTCATAAGCTAATTCTGCTATTATCAAAGTAAGGCATACGCAGAGATGTGAACCGATCGGTTGAACTGCCCCTGTCGCTTCGCCAAGGTACAATTTTCAAGCCAATTATACTCCTCAAATTTGGTCAGCTAAGTGCGATATAATATTAGTTGTATCTTGACATTTTATTATTGATCCATTACTCCGTATTGCCGAGTGGTGATCAGCAGGAAAACATCAAGATAATCCAAGAACACATCTCAATCGTCCATGCAAGCACAAAGGTGTTTCCCGGTCGTCTGGTATCCGGGGTGTAGCATTTCAATTGTGATCAGACGTCCGTGCTCTGAAAAACTTTCTAAATGACTAACTATAGGAGCATAAGCACGTGGAGAAGAGTACAACGGCCCTGCTGTTGGTGGTACGTCAGCAGCACGGTGAAAGTAGAGTTCTTTTACAATCGTTCTAATTTTGACTGGAATGAAGTTCCTTCATGATAGAGCATTCTTTTTTAATATGAGTTCCTCACAATTATAAAAGGCTATAAAATGGTATAAGATTTATGCTCTTCCTCAACAATTATCTACGCTTTGTTCTGGCAGTTTCTTGTACTTTTAAACAAGTTATACAGTGTCACCTCTCTCAGTATCCACCAGTGGCATCTGCTAATGCGCAATCGTAGTGGAAAAGGACTAGGACGTATGATAGAAAAATAAATATATATATAAATAGATAAACAATTAACGATCGTGCAATATTCATACACATATGAATTAAGTATTTTCAGAAAGGTATATAATAAAAGAATCTTAAGACCAATTGCGTAAAGTACTCCCTTTTCGTTGTAAGAGCTTTATTATGATTTTCAGTTTTTAGTTTGTAAATAATTTATATACATGGTATTATATGAAAATGACGCACTTATTTTCGTAGTTTTGAAAGAAAGTGAAATGGGACTTATTTTCTGTTTTCATTTGAAAACTGTTGCCATCCTGGAGAGATATCTCGGGACAGCAATAGGTCCTCGAAGTACCCTCCATCTAATAATTAAATCTTTTGTATCAGAAGGACAATAAATGATACAGTTGTTGATTCTATTTTTTAAGGTGATGAATTAGCAGCCAGTCTCAGCCATGGCGTTATGTAAAACCAATTTGAGTCGAAATTGTTAAAGATTGTTTAGTTAAGTGCCAGTTAAACTACTATACTAGAATGTGAAATAATGTTGCATTATCTCTCTTATTGTTCTCTTTGGATGAAGAATAGAGATCTGCACGGATATGCAAATTGCCGTGGCCACAGGCATGCTTGTGCTGGCCGCGACCATGGACGGGCACGGGCAGACTCGAAAAAACGGTGAACCGACAATCGCTCTCGTTGACCGATACGGGTTTTTTTTGAGCAACAAAAAATATGTTCGAAGATATGAATTGTTTGTAGTTGAAATATAGATAATGAGAGAGATGCGAAAAAAGGATAATAATATATACGAATAATATAAAATGAATAATCATCGCACGCCTTAACCAAATCGTTATCTCTTTAGTTTTGAAAAAGCTTTTACCCCCATTCAAAATCTGGAGGATTAGAACTTTGTTCTTCATTCTACACTGCAAATCATTCTTCACCAGTAAATATTTTAGCAATCGTAGTTTGATCATATACCAACTTTGAGCTATACTCTATACAACGCATACAGTTTTACCATTATCCAATGGTAATGGAAGTTCTTCGTGAAACTTCCTATTCCCAAACAGAACTTTTTTGAGTTTTTCATGAATGATACACAATATGCTGAACAAACTTGAACCTCTGTACCGTCAGTCGCATGATAATCTTGAAAGGAAGTAGGAAATTCTTGATTTCTCAGCTGTTTATAATATTTTTTCGGGTTACAACTAAAAATTTAAGTAGCTCAACAGTGAGATAGTAAATTGTGTATTATATATGATTAAGGAACAATTTCTTTAATATAGTTTTTTCAACTGGTACAACACACATCATCCTTATAAGAAGTTCTCTTTATTTTTAAAGAGCGTGGTCTCAAGTAGTTCAAATAGCCAAGCGTTGATATTTGAGTTATTAGCACTTAGGATGCATGAACTCCTTCCTTGTCGAATAACTGAACAACAAATTGAGATATTTAACTCGACTTTGTGTCATATGAAAGAGCAAGATTTTAGCTATGTTTTGATATTGTTTGTTTCTATTTAATTTAATTACACACGATTTCCATAAATATTACAGTTTTCCATTGATCTGTCACTTGAATTTACGACGTAATATCAAAAACTCTAAAATTATAAATGAAAATTTTTCTGTATATGCAGCTTTCTAAGTAATATTGAATGGATAAACCAGATTTTTCGAAAATATGTAGTTCAAATCAAAGAGTCCATTTCTCAGTTGGAATTGTTGAGGGAAAAAAACGATTTTTACGATCATCTCTTCTGTTAAAACTTCGATTTTTCGGTTGAAGGGGAGATGTGTCGCTGAACAGTAGTCATTCTCAGAGGATCTTGTCGACCTGTGGTACATTTTATTTTGTTTTTTTCAGAGAATACATTAAATATTAAAGTTTCTTCATGGTTCAAAAAATGCCTATGGTTACAGATGCTGCGAAGTTAAAAGACAGAGAATATGAGACAGTTGCAGTTGATACTAAAGTTGTACAATGTTTGGTAAAGCATAGAATAAACAAAGCTTTGCACATCTTCACTATATGTTTCATATTTGTATTTTAGCCAAAAGTATCCGAAGGATGTCGAGTACCGGTGTTAATGGATATACAAAAGGCTTATGGTATGTATCTCATTTCTTCTAAGAGTAATAGATTTAGTTTATTTCTCCAAAGCTACGATAATAGAGAACAAATTGCTTGTCCATTGTCCTGATTTTAAGCCACTTAGTCACATTATTTTATCTTAGTTTTGGCGTCAGCGTTTGCCTTATGGAATATAAGGGAAATTCGATTGTAATATCGCTTCTTAGCAATAATTCCTCAATTTATTATTTTTGTTTTTTCAGTTCCGGCTGAAATTGTCAGTACACGAGAATCGAATGGCATTCGTGAATATTATATTCATTATGTTAATTTTAATCGACGTTTAGACGAATGGGTAACAGATGAAAAAATGAATTTAAATGAATTAGTGGGTCCCAGTGCAACAACTAATACTGCATCTACAGTAATTGATATAACAACAAACGTCACAACAACTACAACAACAACACAAGAAGTCACAACGCTAATATCTCCTCCACAAACTCCGTTATTACAATCAAACTCTAGTCATGCGTTAGATTCACAACCACCCACAATTATATTAACGGATGGAGCAGATTTAATCTCAAATCAGAGTCAACAAAGCGATATTTTGTCATTAACACCAAGAACAAGTGATACATTAGGAAATCCATTATCATCATTTAATAATAAAACAGTGACGCATGGAGGAACAGGAGCAAGAGGAAATGGTCATCACGGAGCGGTACATCAAATAACAAAAGTTAAAAATATCAATTGTATACATTTAGGAAGATATTATATAAAACCGTGGTATTTCTCTCCATATCCAGAAGTAAGAATAGCTTCGTTGCTAACAGTATTTTCGATACGAAGGAGGATAATTTGCTAAACTGACTGGTTGCTAACCTTTAACCAGTTGGTAAATTGTGTAATTTGTGGTTTATATTTTTAAAGGCTTTTCGTGGAATGTTACGAGGCTATGTTTCATTCCTCTAAAGCTTAGTCGTGAAGCACTGACATCTCGCAGAACTAAATGTTTCTTGAATTGCTAGAATTTTTGTGTATTCTTCTTCATGACTTTTTCTCTTTATTGACGATTTAGGATATTACATCTTGTCCAATTCTTTATATATGTGAATTCTGTTTGAAATATTGCAAAGATTTAACGGCTCTCAAACGTCATCGAGTGGGTGTAATTTTTTCTCCATTCTGTTTTAGTTTATTATTTTATTTTATATCTTTATAGACAAAATGTACATTGATTCATCCGCCTGGAAATGAAGTTTATCGCAATGGTACAATATCATTTTTTGAAATTGATGGAAGAAAAAATAAGAATTATGCTCATAATCTATGTTTACTAGCAAAATTATTTCTTGACCATAAAACATTATTTTATGATACAGATCCATTTATGTTTTATGTATTAACGGAATTTGATAATCAAGGATTTCATATTGTCGGATATTTTTCAAAGGTAAAAATTGCTTTCCACTGATTCAATGTTTAACCATATCAAACATTCGACGTTCTCTATTTATAATTTGTAGAAAAACATTGTGAGAAACTCTAACCAAACCTTTTTCTTCGTAACACAGAATTCTTTGCCTAAAATGCTTTGCTTTCGGATATTAAAGATTAGATCAGAAAAATAAAAGAAATAACGCAATTTTTTCTTTTTATTTAGGATAAGGAATCTAGTGAAGATTACAATTTATCGTGTATATTGACACTTCCACCCTATCAAAAGAAAGGCTATGGTCATTTTATGATTGAGTTCAGTAAGTTTCGATAGTACATTATTCACAGTGTTCTTCAATTTTATTTTTATTTCTCGCAATCTCATTAGGTTATACATTATCGAAACTAGAAAATAAAGTTGGAACGCCTGAAAAACCATTGTCGGATCTTGGCTTACTGTCTTACCGTCGATATTGGTCTGAAGCAATTATGGAAACATTATTAAATGTTCAAACTAAAGAAGGAGAAGAATATCCAGCGTTATCAATCAAGTACGATATAGAGTACAAGCAGAAATATTTTTGAGAGGCACTGAAAAATTGTTTGAAATGTTTCAAGGCTCTAGACTCAACTGTATCTCATTGCAGTTGTAAAAACTTCAGTTACTCATTTGAATTACAAATGTAAAAGTGATATTTAATCATCTACGCTGAATAAGTAGTCAACAAACAGAAGGCTTTTCGCTTCTTTCATTCTCTGTCAGATACATTTATTTACATTAGATCTTCTTCTTAATATGTCATTTGTATTTTTTAGTGAAATAAGTGAATTGACGTCAATCAAGAAAGATGATGTTATGGCTACATTACAAAATATGGGTATAATTCGTTATCAACAAGGTAGTTATGTGTTATCAGTAACAAAAGATGTTTATGCAACATATCAATCGAAACGTCGTGCAAGAGTTGATGCAAAATGCTTAATTTGGCAACCTACCAAAGTAAACACCACCATACGACAACCACAGTCACATATCCTTAAATAAGGTTGTTGTACATATTGTAAAGCTTTGTTTTTGATTTTTAGATTGTTGTTGTTTTTGTTTTTATGTGTGTGCTTTATTAAGTAATGTTTTATATTAAAACTATCTTTTCTTTTGGTATTTTAAATGACCATTTTGTAATCTAAATATATATTTAAACGAGAATATATTCAGAGAAACGAAGTAGTACAGCAAAAAGCTATGTAGCTATATCTATGACAACATATATATACATACTTTTTTTGTACAAAAAATGTGTACCAGTTTTGTTCATCGTGTCAAAAATATATTTTTCGAAACCTTGCACTTATCAGTAATAGAAATTGTAAACCAGTATAGTGCCACAAAAAATAAAATTAGAAGATTTTAAACAACTAATAGGGAAGTGATTTTCACTATTGGCAAAAGACCAACAATTTATGATATTTGAATAATATCAAAAGTATATTTTTTAGATACAGTTTTTCGCGTAGAATAAGAATAGAAATGTTTCAAAATTATCAAATGCAGTATACTGGACATTTACGCTCGTTTTTATAAAAAAATAAGCCGTTTTCAGGTTAAAATGGTTCAATCCTATTACATTTGAATGTGTATATGATCTAAAGAACAGATGGATGATTTGAACATTATTTAACTTTTGATGTTTGTTTCTCAATGAGTTTTTGTTACAAAAACAGGTATAGACATAGACATAATGACAATAATTACGAGCTTCTAACATAGAAGCAATCATCAATATAGGAATAGTATTCCCAAGAAGATTCGAAGCACGATACCAGTCTCAGTCAATATATCTGTATAGTTCTACTCTGTAATAATCATCATATTGTAGTTCATTAACGCATATTTTAACGGTTGATATACCACTGAAAGCGATGTTTTTATACACATACGTCACATATTATATTTAAGTAATTCGATGTGTCCTCATTTTCGTTGCAATATGATGTCCACTATTTTGCTGGAATTTAATACGTGTTTTCCACTTTTTAAATGAAGGTTTTCAGAAAGGAAAATCTGACATTGGTAACGCAAGTTTACTGACATGGATAACATCAGTTTATATAAAACTACTCTATAAACAAAAACGAATTCTCAATATTTAGGTAATAGACCCGTTGTACAATTATGTTTGTTGAATCCAAAGTATGATTTTAATAAGCTTCTTTTACTTCTTCTCAATCTAGAAAATGGTTAATATACAAAAACTTTATTACTTTTTTAGTTCAGGTTTTTATTGTGTGGTATTGTACATAATAAATAAGCCATTCTTCATTTCTTGTCTTTTTACTTTTTGTCAGAATGTAAATTGATCTGACTGATGTTTTTATGTTAGTTCATGTTGAAAGATAAATTAAACATTCACATACACTTATCCTTTTCGCATGATATAAAAAAAGACACATCAGTCCATGATAATATAGATAATTGAACATAAGACTTTTGTGTTGGGAATAAGAAAACACAGTATCTTCGATTAAAAATGGACGTTTTAGTTTTTTTATTAGCTTGAAATATTCCGAAAATAGAAAAAAATATTTAAAATTTAAAATATTTTATTCTATACTACGTCTTTCTACGCAAGAATAACGAAAATAAATAAGACACAAGATTGTTTTGACACCATAAAAAAAAAGAAGAAAAAATATATCTGCCGATCTACTTTAATTTAACTAATACTAGTATCAACTCTTGAACTTGTTTATTGCATACGGGTTCTAATACGACTCACAGGAGATCTCGCGAACTGTCACATCGCTTTTTCAACCAAACCTAGTGGGTTATAGATTATCAACTACGCTGAATCCGAATATCATAGTGGTAGCTGCCCAGGGGCGTTTACACGTTTTTCTAGAACGTTTTTCTAGAAAACCAGCTTTTCAGAAATTCTACAAAGTAACCAAAACTTTTCTCCATACAGCATGATTGTGGCCTCCAAATTTCTGATTAAAATGAGACATCTCCCAGCTCTACACGGCCTTTTTTTGCAAAGTTATACAATTTACAAGAAAAGCCCTAAATGTTCTAATTAATTTCTAATTAATTACTTATTTCTGCAGTTTTGAGGTGACAATGAACATTTAGGGCTTTTCTTGTAAATTGTATAACTTTGCAAAAAAAGGCCGTGTAGAGCTGGGAGATGTCTCATTTTAATCAGAAATTTGGAGGCCACAATCATGCTGTATAGAGAAAAGTTTTGGTTACTTTGTAGAATTTCTGAAAAGCTGGTTTTCCAGAAAAACGTTCTGTAAACGCCCCTGGGCAACTACTACTATGATATTCGGATTCAACGTAGTTGATAATCTATAACCCACTAGGTTTGGCTGAAAAAGCGATGTGACAGTTCGCGAGGTCTCCTCGTCAGTTAAAAAGAATGATAAAATATTGTTTAGATACGGAGGGTGTTTCATAAAAATTCTTAAGTGCTCGACTTAACTAAGTCTAGACTTAAGTGCTCAACTTAACTAAATCTAGACTTAAGAACTTTTATGAAACATCCTCCTGTTTTCGTGTTAACATGGCTACTTGATCAATTTTATATTCTTTGTCAAAACATGTCGATTTCTTTTTAAACGTTTTGATATTTTGATTGTCTGTTTCTTTATCGGTTTACTTAGTATGAATCCGCCTATCGTGTTGGTTCTTTTAAAATATCTTAAAATACTTAGTTTCTTTTATATTTCTCTATTTTTCTCTTTCTATTTTTTGTGTTTTTTTTTGTACTAAAACTTTTTCCTTCTTTTTTTTTACATTTTTGACCGTGGATAAAATTCATAAATGCCATAATGACTTATTGGAAAATTTTCGGATGTGATTTTGTAAAAAGCTTATTAATTTTTTTCTCCTGTGTGTATCATGCTTAACAAACTATGTCAGATGTTAATGAATTATTGAATATAATCAAAATATAAGGCTCCAAGAACTGGATCACGGTTTTCTCCTCATAGAAAAGAAAATCTTGACATTCAGATGAAATTGATTTGCAGCTTACCTTAACTGGAAACGTTATTCAATGTTACATACGGTTTAACCCGGAAAGAAAACTCATCTATAGTACCTATGTAAAATCAAAATCAAGAGAAGAGAAAAAAAGAAATATGCATACTAAATCATTTTCTAGATTGAGAAGAAGTAAAAGAAGCTTATTAAAATCATACTTTGGATTCAACAAATATAATTGTACAACGGGTCTATTACCTAAATATTGAGAATTCGTTTTTGTTTATAGAGTAGTTTTATATAAACTGATGTTATCCATGTCAGTAAACTTGCGTTACCAATGTCAGATTTTCCTTT